AAATGCTCTAGTAAAACAGTATAGTCCTGGTTTAATAGTATTTAAATAGATGATGTTGCATCTATATATTTCACAATTGAACATAACACAGCATTTTATGAATTGTAACTTCTCAATCAGAGCTTATCTTTGAAGTTTTAAGAACTATAACAATACAAAGTTCATTAAAAAAAATATTGCCCCTTCAGTACTTCAACTCACAATAAGGTAGATGACACCGTACATTAAATACATTTCATAACCTTTCATAATCATATCATATCGTTGCATTAATCCATCATATCCAGTGTATTATTCTATTCAATTATGTCGCATATTTTTACTTTAAATCTCATTGCTGCTCAAAGACTGACTATTCCTATGAGGTACCCATAATTTAGGCCAGGAAATGCTAAAAGAACAGTTGCCTGGGGCTTAACGAGTTAAATCAAAGCCAGTCGTGAGGTGTAGGGCGACCATAATGTGAGAATTAACTAATTGTGTGGCGGACACATACAATACATTGCACAATTTATTGCCTGGCATAATTTGCTGTATCTGGTCAAGTGCTTTCATGATTATTTACCATACATCTAATTGAAGATTGCTAAATATGATCGAGGCAGTATCAATAAAACTCTACTCTCCTTTGTTATGTAAACAAAAAGACCACGTTTTCAATTTAAAGTTATCATGGTAATCACGTGACTGATTGTGAATTTCAGGCGGATATATGTTCAGCAACTCAACAATGTGGTTTTTGCATTTCAGCAAGAAACGGATCCATTTTGTGCTTCATTATATGTTGCTTTAACTCTGCAGTAATGCACCTGACAAGACACAGCGAAACAAGCCAGGCAATAAATTGTGCAATTTTTTCCCCGCATTATTTCAATTTGACACAGGGAAAAAAATATTTTGCAAATTGTATAAGGGCTAATTTGAGCTACTGTTTGCTATTTCAAGTTGACCCCTGCCGTTTGTAAAAACGTGTACGCTAGAACTATTTTCCCGCGCTTATCGGGAAATGGAAGACGCCTGATCCACTACCCAGGGACCAGGAAGGGATTGCGACATCGTGATGTTTTTTAAATTTATTGAAACATTTAAAAACATCAATCCGCAGAAAATCTTACCTGAAACCCGTCATAAGCCCAGGATCCGAGAATCAAACCACACAGCTGATCATCAAATGGAAAATATGTTATGTCCATTTTACAGGAGCTGCGCATGCGTACAATAGGAGGCCAGAAGACGCTTCCGTCACTATGAACCATAGCCAGACTTTTCATGTAACCTTTGTTGTGGTTTTCAACACTAGATAATAAAGGAAAAAGACAAACAGCTAAATTATTATTGAATAATTGCGTTATAAATTAAGTCACCTGTAACATTAGAGTCTTTTAAGTGAGAGATTAGAATCAACTAGCATCTATGACTTGTCGAGACTGCAAGTTACTCTGTAATCGTCGGGGCCTTGATAGAACCCTATGGTTGAACGGGGTTTACCGGAATTTGTACATGGAGAATTACCATCCTTGCGGACTGCAATCTCGGAGGGGACAAATTGCAATAAAATCTACTACAGTAGTGGAGTCAAGGCTAGCGCAGTGGGTATCTGGCGGTACAGCTATCTCAAGTCTCGAATCTCTACTCGAGACATATTTTTGAAACTGATCTAAGATTTTTAGTCCTATGAACTCACATCCTACACCTCCAAGTGCTATATACAAGCATTAAAAGACAAGAAGTCTAAAATTTTAATCTTTACAAAATAATATAATCAGAACTGCATGCTTTCCCCCCAGTAGTCTCGCCACTGTTGCAAGTTTTACGACATACTTCAGTCCAATATTTAACTGTTTCCAAACTGAAGCTGCCACTGAAGGAAATCTGATTTCAATGAAGAGAAGACAGTATTCTCAGACCCAGTGTCAAGTTCCCGTCCTAAAAAGTCCCTGAATCGTTCTAACAATGGCAAACAACTAGAGAAGTATGTGCAATCCATAGGAGTCTACTTTGAAGGGTGTTACGGTATAAGATCTACGGATGAGTAACTATATTTTACCCTGTCATTGGTCGGATGTAATTGGAGCAAATCTCTTATATATTTACCTATAGCAAGCAGTTCACACGATCTAAAGGAACAATTAAACCAACTGTTGCCAATATATATATATATATATATATATATATATATATATATATATATATATATATATATATAAAACAAAACAGTAATCAATTCTGGTTGTAAATCAACAACAACGGAATGTATAGATTTTCTGTTTCATCTACTAGAGTTAATGATTCAAGGAGAAAGTTATATGCATAAGCAGATTTTGATCTTCTCTGTAATGAAAGTTTCAGGTTATAATATTATTGTAAGCAAATCTGAGGCAAGCTTTATTGACATTGTGTCTTTGAATTTCAATTGGTGAACAATCGCACAATAGTTTACTTACAGAATGAACATGCTATCAGTCCAATAAGTTTTTTTTAAATGTCTATTCAGTATGTTGATTTTTAATTTGTCCTTTCAGTCTAATAGTGGCTAAAGCCTGAAGACATAGACATAATCTGAAGTCATCTAGACGTGGAAAGCAAGGGGAAACTATCACATTACTCTATTTGAGCTTTGAGTGCACATCTATTTTAAAACTTTGGCTTTTTTGGACGCAGACTGTTGGTTTCTCGCCTCTCATGCAGATGTACTCTGATTTACCATGAAACATTCCTAACTATAGTTCGTTCAACAATTGATAAACACACATGCAAGCCATTTTCTCTAAAATTGCCTGTTAGATCGCAATGATATTTTTGCATGCAGCCTTAGAATATTCATGATGCAAAGATTGTGGTATTCTTTAGTCCATAGATGCTGAGGCGTGTCTTCATAATACATTGATAAATAAAGTAAATTCATTTGTTGTCAATTATGTTCAATTGAGCTGAGTTGAGATGAGTCAAGAAAGACATCACAGGACTCGAGACATACTCATATGTGCTCCGTCGCCATCTTCAGCAGCCAGAACAGAGCTCCCATACTAATGGTTTCTTTCCTCTGAGTATAGTATGCCGGCCAGACCCTCTGGTCCTACCCGTATGTATCATTCTCTCCAGGCCATGGTAATCTATTTTCTCTTCTGACTTCGTTACTTGTTACCAAAGGGTCTTGACTACATCTGCCTTATCATGTATCAGTTCACCAGCCAGTGATGCAGATCCAGCCAGTCTGTCTGTCTTGTTCAGTTGTAAACATGTCCCCAATATCCAACAGTTTGTGTTCCCTTCGGTCACCATTAGATCCCAGTGTGTATCTTCATTGCACAGCAAACTGCATTATGGTTGACATATTTGGTTATAGAGATGTATTTGTTGCAACTGTAGATTTATCTAACGGGTTGAATATATTCAACCACTCATTAAAAAACAAATGGTTTTAATCATTCCGATTCTGACTATTTCAAAAGTTTAAAAATTGTTACTGGATGAACAAATTGTAATCCATCTCGGTGCCTGTACTCGTCTTCCTCTCGGAACACATGTTCAACACACTTTTTTTAAAGGAAATGAATGTCTATTTTTGAGAGGGACACACGTATCAGAACATCAATATCACACATTCTAAATGTACTGTTTTCTTCGGCAACTTGTCTTTTCACTTTAGCCCAAAGCAAGCTCTATGGGGTCGAGGTGGGAATGATATGTAGGGAGTTTGCAAAGAAGTGAAGCCATATTCGTTAATGATTTTGTCAGTGTGGTACACGTTTGTTTTATTTGTTTTTCCTCACAAGCTGCAACAACTCTGCCTTCAAATATGTGTCGTCAATGTTGACTTTTTTTTCCTTAGCAAGTATTGTCCTAATTTGATCCTTTGTATTTGATGTTGCTGGTACTTTGTCTTTCTTCGATACAGCATAACGATAGGCGGCATTATCCATTACTAGACATTATGGTCTGTCTAGAATTGGAAGAATATCATTCTCCATCCAATGCCAGAAAATATGTCCATTCATTTCCCTACCATCCGTACTTTTTCATAAGAAAAAAAGTCCATCATTATGGATAAGGCCTTTTATCTCTGTTTCCTGCATAAGTGAGTATAATGCGCTGGCTTTTGTTGCTTGGAATGTTTCTTTTCTGTTCAACGTTTATCGACTGCCATTCTATAGCATAGGTATGGTGAGCATTAACACAGGATTTATCAAAATATACAATATCATAGCCTTGATTCCGTCGCTCATAGATCTGCCTTAAGTATTTGCTTCGACTAGCAATCAAACGTGGCTTTTCACAAATAATATTCATTCCACCTACAGTTTGCCTGAAAGTGAACCCGGTGGCTATTACAATTTTCAACAGACTACTTTTTGAAATGTTAGGACTCCATTGAGTTGAGCTGATTTGATTCGAGAACCGACATTACAGTACTAAGAGCATTGCCATAAGCGCTCCCTCCCCATCTTCAGCGGCCAGTAAAGAATTTCGTTACAAATGGTGCCAGTAGCATTCTGATTAAACGTCTGTCTTGCCTGTCCTCTGAGCCTCAAGCATTTGCCAGATCCTCTCGTCACTCCTCCCTGTATCAGTCTAACCAGACTGTGGTGATCCATCTGTTTCTCCAAACTGTACACGCTCTCCCTCAAGGCACTAACAACGTCTGCCTTATCATGCATCAGTATTCCACCAAGTTGTGCAGAGCCAGCCAGTCTGTCCGCCTGTTCATTTCCTAACACACCGGCGTATAGTGCATTTTTATTTCTATGTTAATTTCAGTTTTCGGAGAGTAACAAGCAGGTTTCTCTCTAATATTTTTTAGATCTCATGTCTAATGACATCTACATCAAAGTCGTCAACTTTCCTTTTCCTTCCTTGCTTGACATGAGTAGACTCTGTGTCCTGTCTAATCCAACGTTTAAATAATGCTATATCCAAGCGCCAATCGTGTGTGTTTTTCTGGGTCATGAATATCACAATAGAAATGACCCATCTTAGATTCCCCGTGGAAATGCTGGTACAGTAAAACGGTAACCTTCTGACACAGGCCAGCGCATTATACTCAATCATAAATTTGCATCTCAAATTCATTTTGAAGTTGATGTCTCTGTCAGCTTTTATAAGCTAACTATACGACATAATAACTCAACACTAATTTGTGGATGTGCCTTTGACTAAACAACCAAGACCGACGTCTTATTTGACTTCAGATCACTAACAGTGCGATTTTGCATGAGACAATCATGAAATTACGTAGGCTTTCTTTGACCCCCTGTTAAACCAGTCATCGTGTGCGTTATTTCCTGAAACTAATGAAAGTAAACCTCCCAAAAGTCTACCAAGACGGTTTAATTATAAAAAATATATATTGTATAAAAAAAAAAAAAAAACTACATATAGTGTTTTTTGTGTGTGAAAAAAATGGCCCTTACGTCAGATATATTCTAAGGTTGCATGCAAAAAATCATTGCGACATAACAGCAGTTTTCGAGAAAATGGCTTGCATTATATTTATGAATTGTTGAACAAACTATAGTCGCCTTTTACAATATTCCTGTTAGGAAGGAGTGGTATATGAGTCTCCGGAACCAAAACGAGTTCTCACCTCTTGGACCGCCACACGAAACAGTAATGCTAGCGATGACCCCTAGAAAAATGAGGAGGAAAAACACACACACGCACACACAGACACACACACACACATATCGATGCCAAGAAAACATGTATGATGACACTAGGATAATCTAGGATAATCTCAGCTCACTGCATAAACACCCTTGCACCGGTGAGCAGAATCTCAATGCAAAAATAAAGTACTTTCAAAAACCTGGTTTCAAACCTTGAGTTTTTTTTTAAAACCTATAGTGCTAGCCAATTTTTTTGTAGAATACCTGCACTCAATGGCTAATATTAACCGGTTGCCATTTTTTCCCCTAAAATATTTCCAACTGTCAAATTTTAGGTTAAATCGACTTTCAGCCCAGATCATTTAAAACATGGGAATTCGACACTAGCTCTCGCCGGAAAGCCAGAGTTCTATCCATAACCTTTCGCAACGTCTCGATTCCAGTGTCCCTTTCCCACAATCTACACATGCGAGATAACACATTCTGCTGTATGAAGCACCATACAATTTTAAATTTTACCAGAAGGTTCATCACAAGACCTCCGTTACAGACCCACCTGTTGTATAATACAATGTCGGGTAGCCAGATGAAGTCACAAGGAACACGCAAGACTGAAATGTTGTTGTAGTCGCTAAGGTTCCACTCAAGCTTTTCATCCCGCCATTCCTGTAGACAAACTACAAGACTGAAGTTAAATCAAAAGTAGAGGCTACTGCAGTTGAGCTGATATAAAGAAGTAAATATATACAGCACAAACTATTATTTGGAAGTTCAAATCACGGTACGGAAAATATATTACAAATACAGCCTAACGCTTCTACACAGAATTTATAAAATAAAAAAAAATAAAAATAAAAACCAGAAGAATAGTAATTAATGAACAATAAATAACGAAAGACGAGGTAACTTACAACGGAAATGGGAAAACTAGTGACAGCAAGAGCTATTGATAAACGAAACATGAACTAAGGTTAAAGAAAGGGGGAGAAAATGGAAATAGTTAAAAATAAAACTGTAGAAATGTTCAGCGGTATTTGTGTCCATCTTTTCCTTTTTATTCGTTTAGCTTCCGTGTGATAATTTGTACTGTGTTAATTTACACGACGGGAACTCATTTACATTTTGCTCCCTTTTATCAAATTGTCACTTCATTATGCTAATCAGGTCTCTCTCGCCTGTGGAGAACCTTATTAAATTATCGATTACAAGGATCTTTCCTGAACTGATTAGGAGAGGCCTTTGACAGTTTCCATTAGTCTTTTCTATAAAATCAGATATTAGAAAGTATATGTGTGTGTTTTTCCCCCTCTTTTCTTGTTTTTGTTAAATTACCATTGGTACCGGAACCTGGCGGTTCAGAGGCTGCGCCCATCCCCCTCCCTCCCAAATTTTGTAGTGGGCTCCGACCCCCCCTCTACCCGTAATTTCGCCAGGAGGCTAAACAATCCCCCTCAAATAGATGTATACATTCTCTTTAAAAGAATTAATGTGCTTGTATTATTTTAAACATATTATTATACTCAGTTACCATAGATACAAAAGGAAACAAAGCATTTTTCATCACACGCAACCAAATAACATAACTGAAAGTCGTTCCCATGTGGGATGTAATTTTTCGTTATGTGAAGCCCCATCCTGGCTTTTGTCGGGGGCCCTGAATATTGGGCCTGAAATATAGCCCAACGGCAAAAAGGGGTTTCTGTGACCTCTCCACGCGTGACCTCATCCGCATAGTGGCACTTTGTGTCACCGGGTGTTTATCGCTTGTGTGATGTCCTGGTGGGGTACAACAAGAGAGAGAGAGAGAGAGAGAGAGAGAGAGAGAGAGAGAGAGAGAGAGAGAGAGAGAGAGAATGAGAGAGAGAGAAAGAGAGAAATATAATTGTGTAAACTCACCACCTTCATAGGACAGCAGGTATTTTCGTAACTACAAAGTGACGTAAATATATCTGTTTTATATTGTATAAAAGATGTATACAATTTGCTCGTATTGGATTCGCATCCGCAAAGTGGCTCTTTGAGTGATGTTTAGCATGCGAATCTTTTAGGTTGCAATTCCATAGGGGATTTTTTTGGGGAAGGTTCATAAATATGAACAGCAACCACGTAATAACCACGGAATTGCATTTCATGATTTAGGATATCATAAATATACCATGTCATGATTAATTTGCACTCAGCTAAGCCCTAGTATTAATATATTCATTGACATTTATTCTGATGCCGAACAAGACTGAAAAGGACACATCTACTGGGTTTATGGCATCCCCTCTCTTTCCGAGTGTCCTACTTGCTCGATATATGTTTTCTGTGGCGATTTGACACAATTATGCACTTAATGAAAGATGCATGATGAAGCGCACTGGCCGTTTGGACAAGTGTTATTCACCACAAAGCTGATTATGGCCAGTTTAAATCCGTCTCGAGGATTCATATCTAGAATATTTTGGAGACGTCAGTGCGTCTAGAGGAGGCGGGGGGAATAAAGCAGGAGAAAGACAACTGGGTGTCATTGTCATCGTAACATATCTCCAGACCCATGATCATCATCATCATCATAATCATCATCACCATCATGGTAGTCGTAAAATCATTATTATTTTCATCACCATCATCAACCTTGACACTCCTACTATTTAGTTCCCCAAAAAGAATTGCTTTCTTCACTCATAATAGTATCCGGGGACAAACCTTTGGCTAGCATTATATGCTTGAACCACATATAGTCTCATTGCATTAACTATAAAATATGAAGTTGAAGATCTTTCACTTAAGTTACATCATTTCATCAAGGGATGCCTTTTGTCACTTCATGCTAATCATCATCCTCATCATCATCATCATCGTCATCGTCACCATGATCAACATCGTCATATCGTCATCATGATCATAGTCGTCATCATCATCATATCGTCACCATCATCATAGTAATCATCAATCGCCATCAACATCATCGGCATCATCATCATATCGTCATCATCCCCATAATCATCATCATCATATCGTCATTATTATCATCGACATCATCCTACTGGGTCGTTATCACCACATAAGACTCGCAGTTTTTCTTTCATTCCTTTTTTTTTTGGTGCAACTATTTTAGTCATTGACGATAGAATCCACACGAGCATCTTTGACATATCTTGCACCTTGCTGATTTATAGCTAGGCCCGGATCTCTAGCGTAGTTGGCTAAACCGGACTGCGCGGTGACCGGGTGACGAACTCCTTCAAGTGGTCCGGGTTCACGCCCGGGGTTAGGCAGAAAAGCCACAGTTCTCCCAGATTTACGGTATTTATCATGGAATCAAGTCAAAGGGTTGCGATATCCATAATGCCGAGCCTAAGGGTCAACAACTTATGGCTTCTGGATACAAAAAAGAAATAACCCGTGTACTGTTAGCAAAAAAGGAAAATACAACAGGAGAAATACAACTGGGAGTCGTGATCTAGACAACTTCTCTAGAACACATAAGAAAGAGTGGACTCGAGAGATTCTGTCAAAGATGTGGAAAGAGGATCACATTGCTACACCTACTGATATAGTAACAGCTTATAGTTAGAGTTAACGATAGTTTTTCAGTTAAGTATGCAGCTTGCGCTGAATATGCGGGGGGGGGGGGGGGGGGGGGGGCACTCTAAAAGAATTGTCGAGAAAAAAGATAATTAAAATATAAATTTTGTTTTAGTGGAACAGAAAAGTCTTCCCAAGCCGTTTTTTGCCTCTTTACTGCATTTTATCTGCGTGAAATTTACACCAAGGTCCATAATTTAAATAGGAAACAATACACATCGATGTAAGTTTAATAAACAGTAAAAACATTAATAACATAATCTTTTACCTGATCCAACCAAATATTGGTTGTTAAGACTTGGTTCTTCTCATCCTGGTAAAACACGGATATAACATGTTTCAATCAAATATAAACGCTTTTAACATAAACAAGTGCATATGGGAAACAAGGAAGAAATTAAGTATGCATACAAATTGTAATGTCATCAAAATAAAATTCTCTACGAAGAGTAGATGAAAAGTACACAAAAGATATTTTGAAAAAGGTTTACTAACAAAGTAAACTAACTACCAGCAATTGAAAGAGAAAATATTCTTTCGGCTCGTTCGGTTCGCCAGCGCAATTGTTTTATGGAGATTCCTGATGATTATGATCGGAGCTACATAGTTCGTGCTTTGTACGATGCTCTCTTATGTGGAGAGAGACCAAGCCATATGGGATAAAAACCAAATGCAGTTTGTTAGTCGATCCTCTCACCCTTAACAAACATGTGGAAAATTAGTGTACCCGATGACAACAGGAATGTTCGGGGGAGAAGGGAGGTAGGCGGAGCTAGCGAGAGAGGAAGGGGGGGGGGAGAGAGAAGAGAGTTTGACAGTAAATAGAGACAGAAGGCTGTGGACAGTCATGATTACCGTCGCCACACGGGCATTCTGGGCACCAGTATTTTTCTTAAAAGTAATCAGCATTATATGAATGATGGGATCAAAACCACAGCTGTCTTATTGACTTCCAATGAATTTCATGGTACCTATTTTTGGCAGCATCTTCCTGGCAGACAAGATCAGTTAAACATCCTCACCTCGAAATGGGCTAGAACACAAGAATAAACACACAGAGCAACTAGAAAACTCTGCAACTTAGGGCTTTTCGGTCACTGTTACGGCTGTTGTAAATCTCACTGACCTCTTACAATAAACATGATTGTATACATAATTTCTCTTTTTTCCCCCGTCTTTATCAATGTACTAAAATGTAGACTCGTAAATATAAGCTAAATGAATTGTTTCGTCATGCGACGAGAAGGAGAAAACTGGAATACATCGTGACAGTAGGAAAGTTGAAGGGGAGGAGAGGCAGAGACAGACCGAAAGAAAAGATGCTGGACAGTCTGACATCATGGCACGGAGGATCATCTTTGTCATAGCCGATTGAAAATACACGAGACAGAAGGTTGTGGATAGATATGACTACAAACACCACACAACATGGACTTAAAGAAGAAGAAGAAGTAGCCGTTAAAACAGTCCCTCGAAAGAACGTCAGACTAGATTTGGCAGATTTCCAGACATTTGTCCGTTCTTTAGTCCTCGGTATCTTAGCTGCGTGTCCTTCGCAGGACGTTGCAGAACCAACGTAAGCATTTTTTTTGGCTGTTGTGGTTCTTCTGGACAAACTTACGTTCAGTAGTTTGCAATTATCTTCTAAACGGTTGAAACCAACGCAAGACTGTCTGCTGCCAAATCGCCCTCAGCTGGGATCGAATGCGGCCCCCTGGCATTACTAATAGCATTGGTAACGCCTAAACCACAGACACAGAAGTCTTTGTAACACCATGATATAAACCAGGCCAACTTTCAGTAACAAAGAACCCAACCATCATCAAACAGAAAGCTTCTGCCTAAACACATAACTTACCATGTCTATGATCTGAGTGAGAGTAATGCCTAATTTGATTACAACTGAGTGTCTGGCGTCGTAGACTGGTCTGACAGCTGGATCATAATTCCAAATCAGGGCTTTTAGCAGACGCTGCTCATCCGTCGTTGAAGGTTTGGAGTCGTCTGTGGGTAAAATAAGCAATTTTGTTAGTCTTCCCTGCCCACAGAAACGAACGTAACCTATTTACAGTATTTTCTATACTAATTTACACCAAGTCAGGCTATAGCATTTCGAACCTGTAATGTCTGACTATGCGTTATAGATCTATAGTAAAGTAAGTAAAGGACCTTTTCCATGGCTTGGGGAGTACTGGACATACAGGGCTATACCTATGTTATATTGACAATCAGCATTCGGTGGGTGATGTGGTCATCATCACGTTGACCGCCTTTACTTCCCAGGACTCCACCTGGTATCCTATCAAGGCTGGGTCGACCTGACAGCCAAGGTAATTACTGTCAGGTTCCAAAGCCACTACCTTCCGATTCGCAGGCGAGCGTATACCCGCTATACCCCCGCGGCTCCCATTATAGGTTAGTAGTTTTACTAAAAACATGAGGTCACTTATGAAGTGATTGTCATAGGTATAGGTATAGATAGTTGTCCGGTGGTGGTAGTAGTAATAGTTGTGATGGCTGTGGTGATGGTGGTAGTGATAGTGGTGTTGGTTGTCGTTATCTTAACTTTTACTATAATTGAATATAAGAGGATAGTATATGTGCATCCATATGTGAATATATTCCAAAGTGCAATGCACAGTTTTTTTTTTAAATCGGTCACCATTCACGTCAAATGACTAAACCAAACATGCCGTATCCCAAATTTGTAATGTCTGGTATTGATTTAAAAGGAATTCCAGTTCCCCTTGTGAGGATGTTATATGAAGTTCTAAAACATCTAATTTTAGTGGACGCCAGTTTCCAGCAGTCTCATTCATAGTGATAATACTACATTGGTTTTTTTGCATAGCCTTTTAACGAAAACGAAAACCATTTTTTTTTCCAGATTTTTAAAATCCGTTCAGCAATGTTTACCCAAATGTCAGTGAGGAATCCCTTTTAACTATTTCTTTGAACAAAAAAATTACTAGTAACAAGAAATAACAGTATGAGTCGAAAAGCTGTGGGTGGTGGCGGGGCGAAAAAAAAAAAGAGAAAGGGATGATGAAATCATAGGAGTCCAGATTTATGCAAAATAGCTATAAAAACTAAAACCTTTTTGTGAAACGTAAACCTTTTTGTCCAGAGTTTTTGTATTCATTCAGCAGAGTTTACTCAAGTGCCACTGAAGAAAGCATCTTTAACAATTTTACACAGGCAATTATGACAAACAATAAATATGTCTTGTCTTGTCTTGTCTTGTCTTGTCTTGTCTTGTCCACGATTGCCTCACAGCGTAGTGGGCAGTCGCAGTTTTCTATCCTGGGCCAGGTGTGTTGCACTTGTTGTTGTTAGTCCATGTTGCCTCTGGGTCTCTGATATTTTGTCTATACATCGTACTCTCGGTCTGCCTCTTGCTCTAGGGCAGTAGTGCTGTTCGTTGTATGCTCGTAGAGGCAGTTGGTCGGTTTGCATTCGCATCAAGTGGCCAAACCACTCTATTTGTTGCTTCTTTATGTATTGCAGGCATGGTGTGGTTCCTACAATTGATCTAATGTTCTCGTTTCGAACTCTGTCTCTCCTTGTGACATTGGCAGCCTTACGTAAGCATCTCATTTCGCACGTCGTGATCTTTTTCTCCTGTACTCTTGTTAGGGACCAGGTTTGGCATTGGTAGCAGAGGGTTGGTATAAACATGCAATTTATCAGTTGTCGTTTTAGTGCCATAGTGATGCTTGGGTGTTTTAGCAGTGGGGAGAGTTGGTAAGTTACTGCGTTCGCCTTTTGACATCTTGCCTCAAGTTCCCCTATCAATTCTTCCATCATTTGTGAAGATGTTCCCCAAGTATTTAAATTGCTGCACTTGTTTGAGTTGTTCGTTGTTAACTTGAATAGTTTAGTGCCATAAATATGTATGTGTCCGAAAAAAGTGTGCGGTAGTGGGATGTTAATAAAAAAGGGGAAGGGTTGATGTTTGGGGAGGGCGTGGTGATAAAACAACCTATGTCCATATTTACGAGAAACTATGTTAAAACCTTGAAAGGATTATACACAAATACTGACAGCAGGAAGGTTTCAATGTTTAAATTATTGTTTAAACTTGTCTTATCAATTAACCTATCTTAGTAGCACTTTTTTTTACCAGTTTAAAACATAATTTAATATTCCCTTTTTGCTCAGTGCTGCATGTATAATAAAGCAACTGTCACTAGTTAAACAAAATGGCAGCTTATTTCTCGTCTGCTAACCGGAGCAGCGTTACAGTTTGACCAGGTTATAGATGAAATATTTCTGTTTGTATGTCATGCTTTGCCTCATGGGTGGCGTTTTTGTCTTGGCCATAAGTCACAAGTTTCATTATTTAATGGCACACACACACACGCAATATATAAATATACATATATACACATGCATACATACATACATACATACATACATACATACATACATACATACATACATACATACATACATACATACATACATACATACATACATACATACATACATACATACATACATACATACATACATACATACATACATACATACATACATACATACATACATACATACATACATACATACATACATACATACATACATACATACATACATACATACATACATACATACATACATACATACATACATACACACACACACACATACATACATACATACATACATACATACATACATACATACATACATACATACATACATACACACACACACACACACACATACATACATACATACATACATACATACATACATACATACATACATACATACATACATACATACATACATACATACATACATACATACATACATACATACATACATACATACATACATACATACATACATACATACATACATACATACTGTCCGGAAAGGTATATAGTCCCTTATTTTGATCTATACCTTTATCTGGTAAAATATTAATTTCTAGACCCTCCAGTTGCTTTGATAAATCTTCATTTTCAAACTTGCAATTGTAAGTTGGCTAATTCTAGTATTTTAATTAGAAATTCCTGACAACCGGTTTACTCCTGGTTTATGAATACAGGGAACTTTTTTCCTGGTGACGCGTTTAATTTTTAAAAACGATTCTTTCGCCTGATCCCAAAGTGTCAAGACGTATATCCAATTTTGATAGAAATTTTGCGCATTCATAGTTCCAGTTTTAAATTGGAAGATTTCACAAGCTTGGGATGAGACCCCTGTAGAGATCAGGCAGACGAATCACAGTCCAGCCAACAACCACCAACCCATACCATTCTATGCACCAAGCATAACCATGTCCTGCCATTTTTGGCTACTACCTCGACATGGCAAGAGCGTGTTTGTGAGCTCCAAGACGAGTGGACCTTTGCAGACAACCTAGTGAACCAGTCTTCAAGAGCTTGGTTAAGCTCTGAGGCAGTTTTGTGACCTGACCTGTGAAAGAGACATGTTGAGTCCCTGTGCAGTTCCGGTGTCCTCGATGGTGAGGTAATCAACTGGTACCGGATCAACTAGAGGCATAGATACCTGAGTCAACTACAGTCGAATCACCATGGACTGAGGGGAGCATCGATCTACGAACTGGGTTAAGTGATCTATGAATTACCATCATGCTCTTTTCCCACAGCTCCTCATAATTCCTGTGATGAACTCATGTGTATCTCAAGGCAATCTGGCTGCTTTAATATCTGGGTCGAGTCATTGTTTCCTAGGATCCATCCACTGAGATCTTGTGTACCTATTCACTATAATATATATATATATATATATATATATATATATATATATATATATATATATATATATATATATATATATATATATATATATATATATATATATACTAGCTGTACCCGGCCACGCGTTGCTGTGGCATAGTTTGGCTAAATGGAAATGAAAGAAAATAGAAATCGCACGTGTCTAATACAATCATTGTCTGCTCAGATAAGAAATAGTCTTTGATCTCCACCCCACCCCCACCCCACAACTAAATCCACCTACTACCCTCTCCCTCATCAAAGGTTTTTGGAAAAGAAAGACAATGGAAATCGCACCTGTCTAATATAGTTAATGTCGCAATCATTCTCTGCACATTTATATAGAGATAGTCTGGTTTTCCAACTTTAGAACACGCACCATAAAATTGTGTCTTATATATTAGTGGTCGTCTAAATGGTGCTATTAGCACGGTAACAAAAGTGGTTATTTGGTTATCTCATGCTAAAGCTCTTTGTATTTTTATAGGAGACGGAAGTAAAGCTACAACTGTACTTGTAAATAACAAAGTAAGTCGTAAAAAATAGAAAAGCGGAGGTAGCGTTAGTAAAATATAAACAAATTAGGTAATGAGAACTTGAAAATCACGTGTAAAGCTCTTTAAGTTCTCTTAAATTTAAGTCATTACCCCCCCTCCCCTCCCCTCTTCCACCGACTACTGCTCTCTCCCTCTTCGAAATATTTGAAAATCATTACCTGGCGATATTTTGTTGTTGCTGTAACTGACATTGACATCCCTGTCCATCTGGACTAAAATGGGGAGCAGGAATTGTAATAGGTAGTGAATGGGGCTAGTGTAATATTTACCACATCATCCTTCAAGTACCAGTACAACTACTAAAATAATGACACTGCTATCTGTGTTACCATCGGAGTAGACAGAGAGTCGTGAGCCAGAAGATTTGGTTCCGCATGGCTGGTGCTGTCGCCACAGACTGGTCAGATTAGGATGTATAATTTCACTTGCCGACAGTAGAACGCCATAACCTTACCGGCGGTCTTCACATGAGAGCACTATGGTGTAACAGCCCAACCACAACTATTACTGCTGCTGCTACTTTAAGTGGGTAAAGCAGTTACTGTGACTTAAAGCTCTCTCAGTAAATAGTTTGCCCCCCCCCCCCCCCCAAATTCACCGACAACTCTTTCTCTCATTGAAGTAGTTGGGAGGGGAAAAAAAAAACCACTTGAAAAGCAAATGAACACAGGAAAAAAACACCATAATTAGGAAA